CTGATAAACCGTTTAAACTGCAAGGTGAAAGCTTTTTTTTTTCTGTACTCAGCCTAGCAACATACACTTACCAATTACAATGGGAGCTTTTAAATTGTATTTTATCCTAAACTGCCTTGAAATTTTATGGTTGGGAGATATACAAATTGGTGTAATAAATAATAAATAAGATACACAATTTAGGCCCAGACAAATGCACAACTTAACACTGTTGACAGTGAACAGCTTAGAGTGACAGGTAACATTTCCTTAAAGTAAGGGTTCAATGGCTCATATTGCAAATATCTCTTCTAAGACAGGAAATTCAGTGAGAATTTCAAGACAGAAATGTCTGCTCTGAAGATGATTTGAGACTCATATTATACATCCTATTGATCTATATGATTAAATTGCTGCAGTGAACTGAAATTCAGATGGCCATTTAAAATGTCTATCATGCCACTCAATTTTAAATGAAATCTGAATAGTCCGGAGTAGCACAGCTTTAACTTCTCAATTAAAATCAGACTATCTGCTTTCTAGAAAGATTGAAATATAAATCATCTTTGCCTCCTGGGAAGCATTTAGCATAATAAAGAAAGTAGGACAATTGTTCCAAAGCAGTTGGCAAAAGTTCACCCATTACAAATGCCTAAATCTCTGCTAAATGAACTATGCAGTTATGCTATGGGCACTAAAATGTGCAAAGGAAGTTGATAAATATCTTATCAAATCATACAGATTTGGCAGTTAATTAATTTTAAGAACTCCATCCTGAAAGCAATGCCATTCTTGAAGAGGTCACACCATATTTTCTATTTCAAAATTATCTGTTATTATTTTTCTCTCTCTGAAGGTACCTCTGTGGACATCATGGGGTCAGGGGAGGAAATTTTATATGAAGGGAAAGAAAAAAGAAAAACAAAAGCCTGTGCCGTACATATGTTTGATCAAGCTATCACATATATCACAAAATTACATTGCTCCATGGAATATGACAGTTTTCACTATATCAAAATATATTCATTGTTAATTTTCTTCTTTCTATCTAGTGCAATGGTTATTGGACTTTAACTTTTTAGAAAGTCAACTCTAGAAATAATATATAATATTTTGAATTCACAGGTTCTGATGCTTACTACTGTACCCAATGTGGACACTGAAATGGGAAATTCATTTGATCTTTGAATCCTACCAGCTAAATAATTTATACATAAAAATATAACAAACTATGAATAAGGCTTTGATTAATTTTGTAAATCAGAAAGAACATGAATTACATATGTTTAAAAACAAAACAGGATTCTCTTTGAAATCCTGTCAAATTATCTGAATAATCAACAAAACTACTATTAATGTTATTTTCTATTGGGAATGAGAAACAAGCACAGATAATAAAGTCCTTTCATTTATTTTAAATTAGTAACTCCCCAATTATATTATTTCATCCATAAAAAACAAGAAGCAAAAATAATAACTGTAAAAAAAACTTGATTTACTGAAGCTCAACTTGTGATGTTTTCCCCTTAAGCAAGTCAAACACTAGTTTTCAATCTTTTAATAATAATTTTAAAAGAGAAAAATATTAGTTAGGAACATTTTTTCATCAAAACAACATACGCATCAATATAGTGCAATATTAAATAAACGGAAATTATTTTGGCAAAATGCAACAAATGCCATACCAATTTGGCTCTCTAATACTAGATACTGGGCCAACTCTTTCATGGTGCTTTAAATACTGCAGAGTTTGTCTTAAAAATAGCCTATATTTTCCCTTGGTTAAGCACTATTTTTAATTAAGTCATCCAGCTGTGCACGCAGTTAGTAAGTGGTTCAGCAAACACTGAAAACTCAACACTTCCTATTCTATTTCAAAGAGCCAAAATTAGATGTTCCTCAATCTAAACTCCGTAAATGAGAAGGAGGAGTAAAAATGCACTGGGGATAAATTTTGAGGTCCTACATACACAGAATGGTAAGCCAGAATTCTAGTAGCAATTAGCCTACTGTAAATTATTTTTTAATTAATTTTTTTAACCCCCCACATCTCACCAATTCTTGATGCTTTACAAAATTAAAATATACTTACATCAGAATCTAAACTACAAATAATTTACCTCCAAAGCCCACTAGAACAATTACATTTGGATCGGGAAGCTTATTGCAGATAAGAGTCAATTTCATCTCCAGAAGGAGTGGGTTCCAAAGAATTACCACTATTACTGAAAATTATTACTTCCTGGCCTTAGTCCCACTCATCTCTTATGACAAGCATTCCAAATATGCAACCATGGTCCCAGTTGGTAGTCCTGAAGATAACTAGGTGCCAACTCATAAAGAGTTTATAGGTTAAAACCAGCAGTTGAATTGGACCAAGAAACCCAGTGAAAACCAATGGTGGCCCTGCAATATTTATATTCTATAATTCTGACAAAATCTGGCAGATAGCACACAGGTCACAGCAATTTGAAGCAAATGCAATAGTCGAGTAGTCTTCAAAGGCAGTCTCACTGCATTGCAGCAGCCCAAATGAGTAGTGATGGGGACATGAATCACTGCAGCATGGCCATGCTACAAGTGTGGCTTAAACTGAAGCTGGGCAAAAATCCTTCTGGCCATTCTCTCATCTGCCCATTGAGCAATAGTCATGAGTTTAGAACTGAAGAACTTCTTGGATGAGAAGCAAAATGTTTTCAAACACAAAACCAAGAAAGTCCAGTTGCCTTTTGGAAAAAGCATTTTTGGGGCAACCATGACCTGGATGATTGGGAATCTCCATAGATAGGAGTTTAGAAGAATTTCCTCTCATAGACCTATTCCCTCAGAAGTAGTGCTTCCACCTCAGAAAGTACCATCAGAAAGGTAGAAAATCAGAACGATTATTTTAAATACTATAAGATTACATTTTGTTTTTCAGTGTGTGGCATGCAAACATAAGCACACAATTCCAGATTTAAAATAAAACAGAATACAGGTATGATTTCTCCTATCTCACTCCAGATGCTGTGGGCACTCTAACGCTGGAGGTTTTTAAGAAGAAATTGGACAACTATTTGAAATGTTATAGGGTTTCCTGCTTGAGCATGGGATTGAAGTAGAAAACCTCCAAGATGCCTTCCAGCTCTGTTATTATGTGGCTCTCTTAAACGTACTTCTCTTAAACTAATATTCCCCTTAAACAGATGCAACTATGATTTTTACAATTTGGTAGACCTCTGCTTCACTGAAACTTAGCTAAATGATTTGATTAATGATAGCAGCTTGCATATTCCAGTATTTAAGATGCAGAGGGCAGATAGAATTGCAGGGACATCCAGTAAAAAGAGGGGAGGGGGTCTCTGCTTTTATATTAACAATTGAGGGTGTACAAATGTCACTACACTTAAGAACAACAAAGAATGTTCTTCCTGTGACAACTCAGAAATCTGAGACTACCCAAGGAGCTGCTAGTATAGTTCTACAAAGAAATTATTCAGACTATCATTTGTACCTCTATAACTGTCTAGTTTGGCACAGCAACCAAACAAGACAGACAGATTTCAACAGATAGTTAAGAGTGCAGAAAAAATAATAGCAACGAACTTGCCTTCCACTAAGGACCCATATACTGCACAAGCCAGAAAGAGGGCTATGAAAATATCTACATATCCCTCACATCATGGACATAAACTGTTTCAACTTCTTCTCTATAGGACATTGCATGCCAAAACAACTGGACACAAAGACAGTCCCCCCCCCATGCCATCACTCTGCTAAATAACTAATTCCCACAACACTGTCTTATGCCCTAGGATATCAAACCATGTAGTAGGGCTGTATTATCATTTTCCTTCTCCTATCCATGTTCCTATTACGAATTCCTTTAGCATCTTACAACTATCACTTTGTTGTATATCTCTTATGATTTATGCTGATTATTTTTATTTAACATTTTAGGACTATTGCTCAAGGTTGTATCTTATGATTCATGGTGATTATATTATGATTATGATTTATCATTTGTTGATTGTTGATTGTATGTACATTGAGAGCTTATGAACTAGAGACAAATTTGTTGTGTGTCCAATCATACTTGGCTAATAAAGAATTCTATTCTATTCTTGAAACTCTACATGAAAACTGGGTTTTACTTAAAGGTAAAACATAACACATAAACTAGCTGTGATAAACTGTTTCTATACTAGACACTAGGACCTATGTTTTCAAGTAGTTCCCCACTTCTTTATTAAACCTCATATCTATATTAGATCATTAGTTCCGATCTTCCTGTAACATTTTTATATACAGCAGAATTCCCAGTGGAATTAAAGAATTCCACTGGATAGTATTCAAATATTTTTGTCCACCAACATGGCATGAATCAATAGGATAGATTTGCCCTTCTCTCAAGTACCATGCTCAATCTGTTCTGAATATTGGGTGGGGGCGAGAGGAGGACATTGTGGATCAGGAGTGTCAAACCCAATTACATTGGTGACCATATCGTGATGTATCGGGATTGTTTTTGTGCTTACGGAGTCGGGGTGGATGTGGCCTATATGGGCCATATCCAGCCAGTGTGGGCCACATGTTTGATACCACTGTTGTAGATGAAAATATAAAACTCTGTTATGACAGCAAACACACATACACACACACACACACACACACACACACACACACACAAACTGTGTGTTTATGTCCTTTTTAGTAATTTGTAAAGCAATGTTTAGAAATACTCCTATATCAACTTTCTACTTTTTATTACATTATTACCAAATTATTTACTATTAAAAAGTTCCATAAAATTCTTCAAGAACTGAATATTAATTATTTTTAAAAAGACAAAGCATTCCTGAAAATAGCATTTCATTTAAGATCCAACTCTTACATTATTGCTCTTGTATTATCCACACTATGAATTATCTTGGAGCTACTCTTAATGGAAACATTATTCATATCAGAAAATAAAATTCTTGGTCATGCATAGCAGAATTTAGTTTTCTCCATAGCTGAACTATTTATTTAATCAGACTAACCTGAGCCTCCTTTGATCAAATATTTGTCCCTTGCATAAATGACTGAATCCAGCATAGACTCAAAGAGGAGGAAATAGCCCTGCAAATTGAGAAAAAAGAAAATAAACAAACAAATAAGAGATAGGGTAAAATTATATATCAGTTTTAGCAAGCTCTACAGTAGCATTTATAAACTTTGTCTTTGGAAATAAATATTCTGAAGAACAGTCCAGCAGCTCTTTTATGCTTTACTATTAGTACTCCATTTACACTCTGATATAGCAATTCCTTTCATTAAGCATTTCACAATTCTTGTGCTACAAACCCAGAGGAAGAAGCCACAGATTTAACTTTAATTGATTGTTAGTATCAATATGTATGAAAAGTGGCTAATGAAATATCTGAAGACCATGTCCCCTTTTGTACATAAAGAGGCATAATAAAATTAAAATCTTCAGCTTTCAAATCCAGCATGGGTGAAGGTCAACCACAAATGTCATACAAGCCAAAAAGACAACTCAACACAGTTCCGGCCACAAAACCACAATACAGACAGGAATGGTTAGGCTCAGGGTGGCAGTAGCTAAATGTCCCCTGCTTAAAGATATATTTAATAGAGAAGGCTGCAGGCCCCTTACCATGAAAAGGTCCCCATTGGAAATTATAGGGAAGCTAAACAGATTTTGTTGGTTTAGGGGTATGCAAACGTAAAGAATAAGTCCAAGACCCAAGACTGACTGTATATGGGATAAAAATAATAGCTTTGTATTAAGAAGCATGGCTTCCTTGTGGCCATGTACATGCTCTAGTTCCCAGCCTATTCCCACTTCTTCAACAGGGCTGCAAAAGAAGATACTGTAAATTTGGCTTTTATTTTAGAATAACAGCAATTTAGTTTGTCATCTGAAACTTGTTAATCTGCTGATAAAATGGAATAGTTTTACAAACTACACTTGAACTACAAATCAAAGTTTAAGTTTAATCACAGTTTGCCTGGATTAAATTGGGTTAATGTACAAAGGAAATTAAAGTTTCTAAATTAAACTAAATTAAAGGGATGTGGTGGCTCAGTGGCTAAGAAGCTGAGCTTGTGGATCAGAAAGGTCAGCAGTTCGGTGATTCAACTCCCTAGGGCCGCGTAACGGACTGAGCTTCCATTACTTGTCCCAGCTTCTGCCAACCTAGCAGTTCGAAAGCATGTAAAAATGCAAGTAGAAAAATAGGGACCACTTTGGTTGGAAAGTAACAGTGTTCTGTGCACTTTCGGCGTTTAGTCATGCCAGCCACATGACCACAGAGACATCTTGGGACAGCACTGGCTCTTCGGTTTTGAAACAAAAATGAGCACCGCCCCCTAGAGTCAGGAACAACTAGCACATATGTGCGAGGGGAACATTTACTTTTACCTTTAAATTCCTTCTTAGCAATGTGATGGAAAGCAAAGGGAGGTTAGAACTTAGCTTCTCTCAAAAAGGCTGAACACCAGGTATAATTCTACCTAACAGCCAATTATTATATTTTCAGAGTGCAAACCAATTGTGCATAGCTTGAAAATGTGGGTCTGAATCTCAACATATGCAAAAGGGTTAGAAAATCTATTCTCTAAAAAAAAAAAGAATAGTGGCGAGAAAGAGGCCATTTTTCTACTGATAAGAGGGCTCAACTTTAGGACTGAGGGTTAAATAAACAGGCTTAAGATGGCAATTTTATTTTGGAGAAAATAACAGCTAAAACAGCTTGATCCAGAAAGTGCTTCTGATGGAAAGCTTTCATCAGTTTCCTACTGAACAGCTCTCTCTAACTTCTGTTTGCACAAACAAGAGCCCTAGGGACAAATGGCAAGCAGGTTTTTTATAGCAGGACATATGTATATTTGCATCCAATAGTACCTTCGTATCTCTATGGAGCATTTCTCTCTGCACAAGGAGACCCAAGATGTCTGCTGTTCCTCATTCTGCACTGCACTCCCCTCCCCCCCCCTCATGTATATGAAGGCTGTTTTGAAAATCAAGGAATCCTCCACAAAAATGTGTCACATAGCATGAAAAGGTATAATGAAAATTGGGTATTACACCCCTGGGAAGAGGAAATACTTTCTGCTAGGACAAAGCCATCACTGGAAGCAACCAATTATTGCACTAATACATCATTACCTTTCTCAGTCATGCTAAAAAAGCAGACCACCGATAAAATAACTGGTGTTTCTTAGATCTCACTGTTCTCTTCTGATATTTTCACGGCTCATACTGCAGTTTTTACCTCAACCACCCAAACTCTCTTACGCAATATCACGTCCTGTAAGCTGCTAAGGGGTTGTCCGTCTTATTGAATCAAGTCATTCATCATCAATCTCAAAATGTTTTGCTCTATGTGTGGTGCTAATCTCTGCTGTAATTTAGAATGTAATTTCACAGGCTGCTGCCTCACCTGTAGGGGTGCCATCTGGAAAGAGAATTATACCTGACATTTTTGGTGTATGATGCTTGGAGACTCTCCTGTTTCTACATGGACAAGGTGCAGATTTTAAAAAAAAATTTTTTTTAAAAAAGTTGCATTATTAATTCAAAATTAATTAAAGCAAAGTATTCCGTACTGCACAGATTTGTGAGCAGCATGCTAATGATTGAAATTAGCAACCAAATGAAGACCTACAAATGGCTAGCTTTTTCTTAGACGAACAAAGAAAGGATATTTTATTATTGCATATTATAGAAGTGTTTCAACTATTTAAAAAAATTGTTAGTGCTTATAGCAAAGAGAATAAAGATATAAGGCTTTGTGAGGTATACTTGCATAGCTGGGTGACAGAAGTGTATCTGTATATCAAAATTCAGAGAAACAGAAATAAACAATTAGAATAAGATACTGGCTGTTGAACAAAAATGTTCCTCCATTGAGCAGAAGAGCCAATAATTGTTTTTGGAAGTTGATGGTACGATGAATTGATGTAAACATTTAATAATACAATACAATATTGGCTATGTAATAGTATACATGTGGTTATATGTTATGAAAATGACAAAATAAAAAACTTTATATATAAAAATAAAAAAATGCTCCTCCATTCAATTTTACCCCTAGAGAGCAAGTTTGCAATTTCAAGTTCGCGTCAAATACAATTGTTATATGGATGTGCAACACAGCGCTTAATTTTTTTTAAGCCTTTAAGTCCAAACTGAATTTCTCAACAAAGAAAAAAAAAGTCCCCCCAAAACATTGGAAAAAGCCCTAGGCTTAGTTCAACTCATTTATCGTATTTTTCAGAGTATAAGATGCACCGGAGTATAAGAGGTACCAAGGTTTTGAAGAGGCGATTTTTTTAAAAAAGTAGGTAGGTAGATAGAGAAATAGAGAGAGATAGAGAAATACAGTAGGTAGGTATGGAGAGGGAGAGAGTGTAGGTAGGTAGGTAGAGGGATAGAGAGAGAGAAATAGAAAGAGAGAAAAAATACAGTAGATAGGGAGAGAGAGAGAGAGAGTAGGTAGGTTGGTAGGTAGAGGGATAGAGAGAAATAGAGAGAGAGAGAGAAATACAGTTGATAAGTAGGCAGAGAGAGAGAGAGAGAGTAGGTAGGTGTGTAGGTAAATGGAGGGGGGAGAGAAATACAATAGATAGATGTGGGGAGAGAGAGAGTAGGTAGGTAGGTAGATGTTTCCAGGTGTATTTATCCATGTGCTGGAGAAGGAAATCTGTGACAATCTGCAGCACCTAAGACTTTGTTTCTGCTGGCACAGCACTTGATCAATATAATTCTCATCAACCAGTTAAAGAGCTTTCCAAAAGGGGAAAACAAGTTTTTGCACTCTGCAAATTTCCCAAAAATGGCACATTTTTCGCGAAAACAGGCCCGTTTTTTTAAAAGGCATGAATAGCTTTGGGGGGCTTGCAGAGTTCTCCTGGGAAGGTGAAGGGGCCAAAAACGAGCAAAAAATGGCCTGTTGTCAAAAAAAATGCATGCATAGCCTTATGGAGGCTTATAGAGTGCTACTGGGGGCTGGGGGGACAAAAAACGGCCCATTCTTTGCTCATTTCTGCCCTCCCCAGCCCCCAGGAGCTCTCTGAAAGCCTCCATAAGGCTATGCACAGCCATTTCGGTGAACAGGGCGGGGCTTCGGGAGGCAAAAAATGCTGTATTTGATGTATAAGATGTACCAGATTTTCAGCCTCTTTTTTGAGGAAAAGGGTGATTCTTATACTCTGAAAAATACGATATCTTTCATTCTGCTTTCAAAACATTTTTGCATTATTATTGCATTCCATACATTTTAATGCTATCCTACTGCTGATATCTAAGATAAGATAAAGAAGACAACCTTCACTGTCATTTTTAAGCCATGAAAAACTATTTAAGAATGTTCCAATACAATTAACTTTAGTTTTCTGAACATTCATTTTCTGTCCATTTTCTACCTTCATCACACACATGGGTTCCAATATGATTCCTTCAGTGATTCTTCAGTAATTCTACTGATCCAAAGAAATATCTTTCATGTCTTTCCACACCACATTATTTCCTTCAAATCCCTCCCTAGTGTCTATCTGGACTGGACAAACATCAGTCCTGATCTACATCTGTCAACCTCTTTTCATTTGTAGTTTGTTTTTTTTCCTCCAGCAATTTACCACCTGCACTTGATAAAAGAAACAAATGCCAAGTGTGACTAGTTACTGCTGTTCATATATTCATTAGCTAAAAAGCTTCTAGGCCAGGGGCGCTAACAAATCACTGCTGCAGAGTCTTCGCCCAACATTTGACTGAGGAGCCACAGGGACGCTGGAAGCAGAACTATTATGCACTATCACTACCTACTGATAAGACCAAGATGGGATGGGGGTAGAAGGTAGTTAAAAAAAACTTTTTTCAAAGCCACCCCAAAGCTAGTACAATTCCTGGTCCATTGCCAGTTCTACATTATCCTGATCATTGATTAGTGAAAGTTAAATCACAAATAGTTTCTCTATAATAGCTAGGCCACTTAGAGAGGGCTGTAAAGCCCCCTGAAGCGGTATATAAGTCTAAGTGCTATTGATATATCTAATCCAAGTGCTCTAGATAAGAAGTAACAGAGGATGCTGCTGGTCAGTGCTTTGTCTCTTAGTGTGTTTAGCAATAGCAATAATATTTAGACATATACCGCTTTATAGCCCTCTCTAAGCGGTTTACTGAGTCAGCATATTGCCCCCAACAATCTGGCTCCTCGTTTTACCCACCTGAAAAGGATGGAAGGCCAAGTCAACCTTGAGCCTGGTGAGATTTGAACTACCAAATTGCAGGCAGCCAGCAGGCAGCAGAATAGCCTGCAGTACTACACTCTAACACTGTGCCACCGCTTATTTATATTTGTATTTATACAGATACATACATACAGTACATGCACATGTACCTACACATGTGTGTCCGTGTGTTTTTATATGTAAGTCTAGCACTGACTGCAAGGAAGCGAGCCTTATACTTTAGAAGAAAAATTCTGCCCATGGATTTATCACGGTCTTCTCTTTGCACTAATTCCTTCTTGTAGCGACATTTAAATCATCAAGATGTGAAGAAAAATACGCTCAAGTGCTTCTCCCAAAGGGTATGTGCTGAGTGAATTGTCTCCCTTTATAAATAAAATGAATATTCGGGAAACCTAACACCAGCATGCTGCACATCTGATTTCATTTCACGGCTTACTATTTGTAAAATTGCTCTAATTAGTGTTAAACATGATTTCCTCTTAAAATTCTATACCTCACAGGAACAGAAGTACAATTCTGTCTGGATTGAAGCCTGTTCGTTTGATATATCAATATCAATGTTGTCTTACTAGCAATAGCCTACTTGCAATATACACCAGCAATTTTGTTCAGCATCTTTTTGCAGTGCCATTGTAACTTAGTATTCACGTACTTTGAGGTTTTTAAGAAGAGACTTGACAGTCACTTGTCTGGAATGGTACAGGGTTTCCTGCTTGAGCAATGGGTTGGACTAGAAGACCTCTAAGGTTCCTTCCAATCCTGTCATTTTGGATTCGGTCTACATACAAATAAATTCACATATATGCATGCATGCTTTCTTTTAAATGCTACTTAATGGCTATGATAAATTATGGAGAAATACTAGTCTAAAAGATTTCAAATAGATGTTATTGTGTCATTACTGGGACAAATTATTTCCTGTCATTTTAGAACAAGAATACAATAGTTACAATAATTAAAATTTCGTTCATTTGCCACATAATATTTTGGCACATTTGAAATTATGGCTCCATATTTACGCAAAGCATATTTCTATTCTTACCATCCATTCCGATATGATAACATCAACTTTTTCAACAGGTATATCAACTTCTTCAATTCTTCCTTTGATCAAATAAATACTATCTTCAAGTCCATTGAGCCTGCAAGGCAAAGGGCAAGGGCGTGCTATACATTTTCTAATTACATTTTACCTGAAAGTACTCAAACATTACTATGAATAAGTACTTATAATAACAGAGAACTGTTTCACAAATGTTTTGTGCAGTGTCTGTACTCATGAATTGTACTCATGAAATCACACTTGCTTAGGAATCCCCTGTATGATTCTAAGTGAGATACTATGGAACATATTACTGAAGAGCCGAGAATGTTTTGCTTATAAGACATTAAGAGAATGGAAGTTTTGGACTGACCTATGGGAATCTACAAACAGATCTGAGGACCCAGATTGTTGTTGGGGGCAATATACTGACTCTGTAAACCGCTTAGAGCCCTATGAAACAGTATATAAGTCTAACTGCTATTGCTATTGCTATCTTCCCCTATCTGTTACTAACACAGGTTAGCAGGATTTGGGGGTTCAGTAGAAAATCAGCCACTTCATTTTCAAATATTTGCTTGGGTTTATATACCTCTCATTTTCTTCTAAGAAAAAAAAGTATTAACCAGGAATGGAGGAAGATATCTTAGGGAAATGCTAGCATTTCTTCCAGATAGCGGCACAATTTTTAGCCTTCTGAGTCTCAAGGATGCTTTTCATAGTTTAGGAAAGTAACTACTGCTTCCATAAGCATTGTAACAGTATTAGAAAATTGTTGACTGAGATATATTAATTTATTAATATAACACAGCTTTTTCTTCTTGAAGACATAATACGCACTTGAAGATGCTTAGATGCACATTTATTTATTTCCAGAAAGGAAATATGTAATGGAAAATGTAAGCTCCTTATACAAATGTAAAGGAAAAATGAAAAAGCAAATACTGTACTGTGGTACAGTACAGTTGGTGCTCTCTGAACGGTGGTTTTCTTGAAGATTGTTCATAACCAAATTAGATAATATCATCAGTGCACCACCAAGTTCAGAAAGCACCAAGTATCCCACATGGCTCAATCCTAAGCTACAAATATTCTCTTTTAGCAAATAGTGTAGGTTTGTAACTGGAAGTGTTAAGACTTTGCAAAGCATTCAAAAAGGGCATTTTGCGTAGATGGTTAGTATGAGTGAAACACCTCTTCTACAAACATTAAAACAGTCACATCCTTAGGAAACTTATGGAGTTACTTCAAACGTGCATAGGTATTCATATACTGCATATATGCCCAGATAGTTGGAATGCCAGAGACAAGAAAGGCTGGGTATACAAGAATCAATCTCTCTCTCTCTCTCTCTCTCTCTCTCT